CCGTTGGCCCAATATCACAGGTGCCACCGAACAGCAGGTCAGGCCCATCATCCGACCAGGATGGCTCGCGAAGCATGCGAGTGTTGAGTAGATCCCCATCGGCCACTAGGGCGGACCCCATGATGCCACGGTGTGGGGCGCAGGAAGAGCGTGCACGACGCGGGCAAATGTCGATGGAGTCGCGTGCGTCACTGTCGCAGTCCTTGACGAGCTGCCGCGGCGTGCAAAACGTGACTTCATCCACCGTTGGGTCAACCGCTGCGACCCTGACAGCAGAAGGTGAGCCCGGGCACATGGCAGCGAAGTCCACCTCCCATCCAGGGGCTCCTTGACACGCGTCGTAGGCGTGGCGGGAACCGCTCTGCCAGCCCCGCAGCAGGGCATGGCGCCGCGCAGCGACTTGACAGGGCAGCTGACACCACCAATTAGGACAGCATCCCTCATTTCCCGTGCCCACAAAGCTGGCCCGGAGCCCCGCCTGAGACGCGGCTCGTCCGGACCGGCGAACCGAGTCGTCCACGGCCGCGCACCGCCGCCGTCGCCACCACCGCCGAAGCCCGAATGGAAGCCATTGTAGTTGCTGTCGTCGCTATCTTCATCCTCGCCGGCGCCGTAGAACTCATCGTCCGAAGAAGGCGGCGGCGTATGCAAGTTCGAAACTCCACAATCCCCTGGTCGGAAGTGAGGTACGTACATGTTGAATTCTTGACTTCTCACAACTGACATCAGCCTAAATTATTTAGATTGGAGATACAGTTGGCTAGCACAATCATCTTAAGAGCTAAGACTCACAGCACATATTTTTACTGGTTCAAATCCGGGAAAACTGCATCAGAAAATCTAAACAATAGCTCATGCAACGTATGATTGGTGGGTTCTTAAACATCTGAATTGGACTCCGCATATATATAAGTTAAACATTCAAACTCTGTCTTCTGATTTTTTATAGGAGGCATACAAGTTAATATATCTAGCTATATCTATATCTAATATAAAAAAAAATCTCTGTTTTTCATCCGCCAACCCATCCTACTGTACCTCACACTTCTCGCCATATCTGACCCCTACCGTACCATCCATATGTTTTCAATCCAAATTCAACCAGAGAATGTTTTCAATCCAAAGACAGCACAATCCAATCCAACACAGAACCATGTTTCAAACAACCTGCATCTAGCCATTCAATGGAGTTGGATTCCAAGAGGTGGTACTAAGATAGATGACGCGATAGTTGCATAAACGGAAGGGCTAGCGCTCGTATGTCTAGCCGCATGACGTGTCCAGACGCTGCTCCTGCGCCCGTGCCCGCATCGCATCCCACGCCATCGCGCCCTGTGTCCCGTCCTGTGACAGTACCTGCGTCCGGACGCATCACCCTCGACAATCCCCACCCCAACACCAATGCCAACGCCACAGGGATGACCAACGGCCGGCGCCGGAAGTAGCACGAAGCAGACAACTACGGAGCAGCTGAGAAAGAGGAGGATGGTCCATCAAGAAGCTGCTCACCTCGCTGGCAGCACTGGAGGCGGAGGAGCACGCCAACCGCGCGGGCGCCGCAAACACGTCCAAGCGGGAGCTCGCATTGCTGGAGTCCAACGCCAACACCAGGTCGTAGGCCATGATGGACTACTACGCCAACATGGAGAACAGCTTCGACGCCACCGCGCAGTCCGAGGCTGTCGCCAGATCCAAGCGCTCCAGGCTCCCGTCTTATCTCATCTGCTCTGCAACATCGCTCCACCCTTGCAACATATAGAGTATACATTTGAAACATAACAGTATAGTCATTGGATTGCAACTTATGCAACATCCAGATGAAACACTTACAACATTTGGATAAAACACTTACAACATGCGTCTGAAACTGCTAAAACATTTAGAAAACATACATTTGCAGCATACGTCTGAGAACTGCTGAAACATTTAGAACATAGACTTGCAACATACGTGTATAGCCATGGCAACATGTGCAACATCCCGATCTACTTTTGCAACATCCAGATGAAACACATGCAATATCCAAATGAAACATCTAAAACACTTCAAACATACACTTACGACATTCGCTTTCAGCGCAATGTCACCTTGTAGCTTGGAGGAATGGAGGCTCGTCGTTGCGGAGCTCGACGCCGGCGCAGAGGTTGGCAGCGGCGCATGGAGCTCACTGGTGTAGCAGCGACGCGGAAAACTCAAGCTCCTCCGTCGTCCGGCTCGATCGAGGCGGCCGCTTCGAGAGAGCAGCGTGGTGGAGGCGGCCGCTGCGAGTGGGTAGCTCGGTGGAGGCGGCCATGGCAAGCGGATGACACGGTGCAGGCGAGCGGCACGATGGAGCGCGGAGTAGGAAAGGCGGACAGCGTGGTGGAGGCGGAGCGCATTAGAGAGATTTTTTTTTGAAAGGGACGCCAGGAGCAAGCGACGACACGGTAGCGAGTGAGGAAGTTGCGTCCGTTCGTCCGGACGTCCTCATGAGAGCATTACCGTTGCATAAATCTCCAAGTTACAAATCGTGGTTCAACAAATTACAACGTTTAGGCATGTTTGTTAGTTAGGGAAAGTATTAAACTAGAGATGAAACTTCCAAGGATTAGTGTATGTATGTTTGTTTATCTCCATTGGAAATGACGCAAGTGGATACGATTGGAATACACACCAGGAATCATAAGCTTATAAAATTTGATTGAGAAGGAAGACTTCTGGAGTCAAGTCAACTAAGAAAACCGGGTTGACAGGTGACACCGAATTGGTGTCAATTGAGAAAGTGTGCCGAACCTATATTATAGCGTGACAAAAAACAAGTTTGTGAAGATCCTGATTGAGGTTGGTATAGTAGTTGCTTTGCAATTGTGGTTCAAATCAATCTAATATTTATGTCTTATCTCAAAAAGAATAAAACTCCTTGTTGAAGTCCTTCATGGTAGGCTTTTCTAAATCTGAGAAGTTTCTCTTTTCACGGCATAGATAGTTTGATCGCTTCCTTAATCACTACTTGTGGATGTGCACCTAAAGGATACAAACACAAATTCATAAACAAAAAAGAAAATCCATAGATACTTGTTCTTATCACATAAAAAAGGCCTTTACGCGATACCAATAGAGGTTGGGTACCTACTCTAGTTTTCTATCTGAACCTCGTTATACAAACTCTATACTACTGTTAAGCATATAATGTTGTCAACAGAGAATTTTCTTGGTTTAGCCGCCTTCTCCGAGAACTACTCAGACTGAAATCTTGTTTGGCTTTTCTATCTTTGTAGTCTCATTCCTAAGGTTGACGTTGTGATCTTGGCGAGAGACAAAATAGAGGCTCAGTTTAACTATTAGGATGTAGTCTATATGTATCACTCGTCTGTTTGATGAGAAAAGAAAATAAGATTTCGATTCACCCCTAATCGCATTTTTGGTCCTTCAATTTCATATTCATAAGAGTAAGTCTAATTTTCTCCCTTGAACTTGTTCTTAATTTTAAAATATCCTTGTCCTTAAATACGAGACAACCTACCATCTTAACTTCAAAAACTGGATAAACTAAATGTCAACATCCAATGTCGTTTGACAAAAAAAAACAAATTTCAAAATCTGATAACTTAAAAATAAATATGTGGGCCTCTAAATAATCTTAGATAAAAAAATGTCAACAACAGAGTTACATATCACATTAAGAGCTACAACTTTGGTATATACTATCTCAATATCCTACGTCATTTGAAAATTTCAAAATTTGAATTTTAAATTCTAATAATTTAGAACAAATATTTGATCCTATAAAAGATCTCAAATAAAAATGTTTTCAACTATAAAGTTGTAGATTGCATCAAGCTCTACAATGTTTACATAAAATTTGTATTCATCTGGCTTAATACACAAAAACAACTTGAAATTAGCTATATGGACCCCACTGCCACGCCAGCAAAACTACCAAGGAAATCACTTTAAAATGGTCAAGGGAGGCATTTTACTCGATTTTAAAAGTTAAAGGGATAAGTGGTCTGATATTTAATTTTGAGGAAAATTTTAAAATTCTACGATAAGTTTATGGAGACAACAGGACATTACTCTAGTAATAATCACCGGTGATGGTGAGCTTCTTCGTGGATAGGTCACCACGTCTCTCAAAAACAACTAGAAAATATGAAAAATAAGAAATACCAACCACGGAAGTTGACTTTCATCCAATTCATCCTATTTATCTCAATCACTGATCTAGTTTATGTTATTTTGAACGGGCGTATAGCATACAAATGCAGAATATAAACAAACAGGTTACCTACAAAGAACTGCAAGTAGGCCGGCAGCGAAAATGTAAGTGTCATTTATAAATTGTAATATAAAAAAATGCAGGGTCTTCTTCTCTTACGCAATATGCTAGAAATCAAACATGACAAAGTCAAACTTTGACCTAGCTGATGTCTTCCGGATTGAGTAAAGTGCGTACTTACTTTCTGTAATTCTGTTCGTACAAACATTAACAAAAATTGAAAAAAAAAATTGAAAACATGCATGCATGTTTCGAGGTCTCCTCCCTTATCAACGCTGGACGCGCAAGGGCTAAACCCAAATCCCCAATCATGGTCATGGATACAATATTCATCCACCTTCTCCTCCTCTCGTTTATGCTACTTTGTCCCATAGCCATCGCCGCCGCCGTGTCTGACACGCTCGGCAAGGGCCGCAACATCACCGACGGCGAGACGCTCGTCTCAGCCGACGGGACATTCACCTTGGGATTCTTCTCTCCCGGGCCGGGGCGTCAACCAAGAGATACCTCGGCATCTGGTTCTTGGCGTCCAGTGTCGCCGTCTGCTGGGTGGCAAACGGCGACCGCCCTGTGAACGACAACTCCGGCGTTCTGGTCGTCAGAGACACGGGAAGCCTTGTGCTGCTACATGGCTCTGGCCAGGTCACATGGTCGTCGAACTCCACCAGCTCATCGTCATCGGCCGAGGCGCAGCTCCTCAACTCCGGCAACCTCGTCGTCCGCGAACACCTTGCTGTCCGGCATGAAGCTGGGCAAGAACAAGTGGACCGGCGCCGAGTGGTACCTCACGTCGTGGCGCTCAGCCGACGACCCGTCGCCGGGTGCCTACCGCCGCGCGCTAGACACCAGCGGGCTGCCCGAGCTTGTCGTGTGGCAGGGCAACGTCAGGACCTACCGCACTGGCCCGTGGAACGGCCGTTGGTTCAGCGGCGTCCCGGAGGCGTCGGCATACAGGAATTTGATCTGGTACCAGGTGACGACAAGCCCGGCGGAGATATCCTACGGCTACACCTCCAACCCCGGCGCCGCATTGACTCGTGTCGTGCTCACCGACACCGGCATGGCCAAGCGCCTGGTGTGGGACGCGGGCGCCCGGACGTGGCAGACCTTCCAGGGGCCAAGAGACCCAACTTTTTTTTTATTTTTTTAGTTCTTTTTTTGAAAAAATTTCACAAGTATGCCCCTGAAGGTATGATTTTAAAATCTGTACCTTTATCTCGACGCCATCGTTGCTGGCGCCGAGCTTATACTTCTCGACGCCATCGTTGCTGGCGCCGAGCTTATACTTCTCGACGCCATCGTTGCTGACGCCGAGATCTTGGGCTCGACGCAGACGTGGCGGTGACTTGATAGGCAGCTCGGCGCCGTAGATCCTGGCGCCGAGCTTAGCGCCAATATCTATGGCGCCGATGTGGTGTTTTAATCCAGCCCCCAACCTTCCTGTCCAAGTCTTCTTCTTCTTCTTTCTCCTCCCTCTCGAGTTTTTTCTCTCCCTACTTCACCCTACCTCACGAATCGGCATGTTGGACCTTGGAAACTTTGATTTGGTCCGTAGATCTTCGAGAGCAAGGTATCCTCGCTCTCCTCCTAGTTTTTTTTTGCATCGATTCGGTATATATTAGTCGAATTTTTCAACCTAAGAATCGTCATTACTTAGGGTTTCATGCAATTTTTAATATTTGTATTATACAACTGTATGATGCCAAGACGTGGAAAAGCTAGCAAACCAAGGTAACCTCAGTGTATGTTGTTATGTTATGGGTTCATTGTTGTGCATCAAATGAAAAACCCTAGGTTTATGGTTTAATGTTAATTGCTTTCGGTTTTTAGGACGAAATTGGTTGAATTGTAGTTATGGCCGGATGACTGGAAATACCTTCGACCCATTGCCTCTGCCTAGTGGTGTTCCAGTGCCCATGTGCTTTTGCGGCGATCCTTGCAAGGTAGCCAAGTCCGATGAAGAGAACACATATAGGCAGAGGTATTGGATGTGTTCCAATTTTGCGTTTGAGCCTACACTTCGTCAGCGCCGCATTAACAAGATGGTGAGGAATTGATATTTGTGTCATATGACATCTTGCATGATTTTTTTGTTTTGTAATAATTGCATTTTTTGCAGACTCCTCTACCGCTCTGATTTTGAGCAGTGGATCGACACTGAGATCAAGCCTGAAGACAAGGAATGGATGCAGAAGTTGTTGTGGTGAAAGGCAGAGGACAAGGAGATGATGGAGAAGAGATGCGGAGAGAAGGCTGCAAAAAAGGAGCACAAGGAAGAGGAGGAAAGGAGGCGTGTTGCTGCGTACTGGGAGGAGAGGGAGAAGAAGCTTGAGCGTGGACGCCGAGCGAAAGCAGCGATAGAGGAGAATCCCGATGCCCCGAGGAAGGAAAAGTGGTCTCGTTGCACTCAGTAGTCTCGATGACTTGCTAGTTCTATGGTTTATTCATGAACATTGTTGTCTACTGTCGGCACGTACTTCTGGTATTATTGTATTGTTTAATATGACATAGTATTGGACTTTTCATTATGTGGTTGTTTTCATTATTTGTGGTCATAATATTCAGCTTAATATTGTGGACGTAGTAAAATATGATCACGTGCTGCAAACACAACCTAACGAAGTAGGACATTATATAATTCAACACACAAAACACATGAAATGGCATATGAGAACATATACCGAACTAGGGTACAGAGTTCCTTGGACTAAACCTAACATGCCTTGGGTAATTAAACCAAACAACAAATACATGGATATGCCAAGTGAATAAGATAGGGTCGTCCTAGTAGTGTGGCCACATAGCAAATTGTGTTGCACCTTCTCCATAGTAGCCTCCCATTGTTGGTGGTGGTGGCGGCGGGGGTGACGGCGGAGGCCCCTTGTTCTTGTGGTTAGGGTAGGTGCAATATGGATCATTGTAGAGTGCCTCCTATGAATCGGCACCATTGTTGTTGTCGTCCTGTTCGTCGTCCTTGTAACCGCTGCTAACTTCCCTTTCTAGATCGAAGATACGGTCCTGCAGGTAGTAGATGTACTCCGCATGCGGATAAATAGATCGAGGATCGATCCACCTAGTGAACCCACAGTTTTCTTCGACCAAGAAAGACTGCAATAAGTATGTCATGTAAGTTGTATAGAAGAGGAATATATTGAAGAAACAAATAGTAATAGCAATTATCATGCTCGCAGGCATTTGAAGAAACGACGACCTCCATCTATTCCCTCGGTGAACATCTGCACTAGGCAGTCCTCACTATGCATGCATTTTGGCCACTCTTCTTTCCATTCGTCGTATCCTCTCAGTGGTGTCTCTTTGGTGAAATCACTTTTGCTCTCAACTGGAAACCTCTCATAAAGAGCTTCCTCAAAGAAATCGGGACCAAGAGAACTCTCCCACACAATGGTAGTTTCCTTCCCCTTTCCTCTTTCTCTGGACGACCCTCCAGACATTGGTACTGCAACGAAAGAAAATACTAAGGAGTGCTCTTCTTCCTTGTTGTGTGTGTGAATGAGAGGGAGTGAGGGGTTATTTATAGGTTGAGAGTAGGAATGGAGGCCTCTCAATGTGCCATGTCAGTGATCCGTGTGCCTCTTCACCTCAGCCCTTGGATCAAACAGTCATAAGATGGATGGTGGAGATGGAGTGGAGTTGTGCTTCCTTGCATGCCTTCCTATCTTGAGCAAACCGCCATTCCTCTGTACAATTCTTCCAGAATACACATGCCACAGAGGTTGGAGAGGCGGTAAGAAGCACCTAGTCAAGGTTGGGCCCAAGGCGAGCCTATATGGGGGTGAGCAACCCCAGGGGTCGGTCGACCCTGGAGACACCATCCTATAGGTGTACTATGTAAGTGAAGTGATATATCACTGATGTCATCGTACTCCTCGTCCTTATAACTGAAAAGTTTATTTTCATTGTCTGAAAAGCCTAGATTCGTTCGCTGTTACTGAAAAGCCTAGATACTATAGGTGTACTATGTAAGTGAAGTGATAAATCACTGTTGTCATTGTACTCCTCGTCCTTGTAACTGAAAAGTCTATTTTCATTGTCTGAAAAGCCTAGATTCGTTCACTGCTACTGAAAAGCCTAGATTCATCTACAAAGCATCAGTACGATACGATTGGACTATACACATTCTAATGAATTTACATTTAATCTGTGTACTACATTTGTGCCTTTTTAGCAGTGCAGTATAATTAATGATTCACGGAAAAAATTCGTAAGAGTTTCCCTTATTTTAGGAGCGTCCTAGAGCTGAGAGGGGCCAAGCTCCTCGTGCCACTGGTCCACGTCGACATCGTCCTCGTCCTCGTCCTCGTCCTCATTCCCCTGTAGCTGCTTGGCTAGAGGAACCTAATCCTCCTCTGTCTACGGAAGGAACGTACACATCTTGCGTCGTGTCTGTCCTGCAACCATAACGAGCAGCCGCACGGTGTAGCCGACGTGACAGCCTATGTTGTACAAAATTATGTTAACTGAAAGAATTTAACGTATTAATAATATGTTTGAAAGAATATTTTGAATCTTACGTCTAGGAAGCTACGCATGTCGTCGTCCCTGACTCTCGTACGAAAGCACTCAATGTCTTCAACGGAGCATTTGAGGGTATTTTTGTGCAACAAAGTTCTTAGTAATAATATTTTTGAACATATAGGAACATGTTTTGTTTTCTTTTGTACAAGAATCTAACATATTATAAGGATGCTACGGCTCGAAGGTGGCACTAACTAAAATAGATATCTCTAACACATAATGTATTGGTATGCAACTTAACGTAGAAAATAAGGCAATTGACTTACCACTATGTCTAAGATTGGTCCTGTCTCCACCTGCCTTCCTGCACGAGTAGATTGCTCGTACGCCGTGTCTTCATCGTCGGAGGACTCGATGTCGACGTAGTCATCTTCTGTCCATTGTAGCCTTAGCCTGCAACGTGTCGCACGTTGGTACCAAGCTTGGTACCGCCTGAACTCACGGTTCGTGTGCGGCTCGTTGTTCTCGTCCATGTTGTCGTGCATCTCCTCCCATTACTCAATGTAGTACTGGTGGTGCTTCTCCTAGTCAAAAATCTTTCTGTTTTTCTGACGATCCAACTTGCACGTATGTCATCGTTACTTGAATCCATGTACATGTCACCATATTAATGGAAATAGACCATCACGAGACATTTGAAATAGCAAAACACTTACTTGTGTAAGTCAACGCCAGTCGAGAACGGAGCCGTTGGCCAAAGCTGTCTCACTCCAAATTGGCGTGCAACTCTATCTGGCAGGTGGAACTCGACAGCATAGAAATATATTAGAGGGCACCTCATCCTATAGAAGTCATCGTCGAACCCACACATGTTGCTCAAATGAAAAGGAAGTGCCCCCTCTCCATCGTATGGCTCCCACGACACCTGCAACATGTTCAAACAAGATGTTAGATGGTATACTAAACCATTTTAAACCAGCATGGGAAATAAAAATTACTTACACTAGACGCCGTGAGCCTGTCTAGCTCATTCATGTACTCAATGTACGCCCGTTGTAACCTTGCGTGCGGAACCCTAACCTGGTCCCAAAGGTACGCCCACGTCGGCTACCGACATGGAGGCTGACCTAGGAACCACTCACGAGGAGCCAGAACCTCGGGACGGCCAACTGGTAGACGAGCCCACATCCGCAACTGAAGTAGGTACACGCATCCACCAAGTGACGCTGTGGACGAAGTCCGATGACACCCCTCGCACAACTACCGGTAAAGAAAACCCAAGACTACAGAGCCCCGGCTGTACTGACCCGCCTGGTCCCAGTCACTGAGGCAGTGGACCCACATCCACGACGCAGTGTCACCCGGGGCGTCGGGGAAGAGAACGTAGGCAAACAGGTGTAGGATCCACATCCTATAGTAGTACCCAACTGTCTCCTCATCTGCCTCCTCGGGGCACTGTGCGAACTCTTGCTGAAGCCAGGAGATTAGAACTCTAGAAGTGCGAGCCCCTTGCTCGCCAACCTCATGCCCAAGGAAGGCCTCTACTCGTGCTCTCCGGTCTTCAGACCTGCACTGCTCGGTGACTGCGTTGCCGTGAATCATTAGGCCTAGCATCTTCTGACAGTCCTGGAGCGTGGTTGTCATCTCTCCGAAAGGTAGGTGGAAGCTGTGAGTCTCCGGCCGCCACCTACATTTTAGACAAAGCAAGATTACATGTCAAAAAGGAAAGCGCATGAACAAATGGCCATGAATGGAGGCAATGATTGAAGATAATACCTGTCAACCAACACAGTTATGGCCGCTAGGTTGAACTTGGGCAACCCACGATGAACCTGAAAAGAGATGACATCCAGGCCAGCTCTTTGTAGGAAAGGTGTGTACCTATCATCATACTGCATGTCCAAGAACCCATTATGGGTTCTAGGACGAAGGAGCGAAAGGTCTTGCATGGAATAAAGCATAGTCTCCTATTACTTCACGGACACATGTACGCTCACAAAAATTTGAACAAAACATATAGATTATTACCTGCCCCTCCGCCATGAGACGTCCTTGGTGGGTCGCCTCGTACGTCGGGTCGAGCAGGTGGAATTGCGCCATCCTACAAAAAAGTCAATGAATTAGAAATTCAATATACAATGAAATATGAACTTAGAAATGTACAAGTAATTGACACAATTACATGCATAAATTGAGACATGCATAATTAATTAAATGAATATGATAAATATGAAATAATGAAAACAACCAATAGTCGCACCTCACTAATCTGACAATGGCAACTGCGTGAATTGTGGCCAAGTCTACCACACTTGCCGCACTCGTACTTCTTGGGGTCAGTAAGAAATGGAGTTCCTCTCCCACGCCTCGTTCTTCCGGGTATCTGATCCATAACCATCATGTGCCTCATCTTCTTCCTTGATCCACGCTTGTTCCAACGGTAAGCTGGATCCGCAATGTACTTTGGCCCATCATATGGAGGCCACTCTCCAGGGTCCTGAAAAGGCACGAAGCGGGGGCTCCATGTGTGCACAAGCATGTCAACACTGAACTCATGAGGTATCCTGCTCTCGATATTATAGTTGCGATGCCTAGCTGCTGCCACCAAATAAGAACATAGAAAGTCGTACTGCCTTGGTTTACCACAAGTGCATTTGAAATTTTGGAGGATAACCACATGCATCCTCGACTCTCGGACCTCGCCATCGGACGTTGTACCGCCCCTATGCTCGACCTAATAAGTCCCTATGGCGTGGTCAAAGCATGTAACCTCATGTGTGCCAGCCCTTTCATTTGCCTTCTCTAGGTGTGCCTTTGGTTTCAGAGCCCATATCTCTCCATCACTCTGCAACTTCAATGCATGGGCGTGTCTATCGTTGAACCAGGCAACAAGCTTGTAGAAGGTGAATTGAACGATTGCATTCACGGGCATACCACGTATCCCCAATAGCAACTTATTGAATGACTCCACCATGTTGCTACACTAAAACTCGTACCTCCATCCACCGGCGTTGTGAGCTCTTGTCCATTTCTCCAAATCCCTCATCAAACAAGTGAGCCATTGTCTACCTTCTGCATTTAATGCGATTCTGACCTGCTCCAACTTTTTCTAAAAGTACTTGTCCTCAAGCTATCGAGCAGCCTCCTGGAACAAATCAAAGTTATCCTTCACACCATCCTTCCGAAGTAGATTCTCGGTAAGGTGCCGAGTACACCAACAATGGTGCAAAAGTGCATACCCCTCTATCTGCTCTCCCACGGCATTAAGTATGCCCTGGTGCCTATTAGATATGATGCCAACCTCCCTGCCAGGCCCAACCACATGTATCCAGACTAGCCTCAAGAACCATCCCAAACTGTCATTGTTCTCCTTCTCAACCAAAGCAAATGCCAGAGGAACCAACTTGTTGTTCGCGTCATAGGATATGGCTATAAGAAGTGTGCCTTAGTATTTGCCAATCAAGAATGTACCATCAATGGAGAAGACGGGATGACAGTGCCTAAAGGCCTCGACACACTGAGGGAAGCACCAGAAAGCACGGAAGAATATCTGCCTCCTATCCTTCCATGCATTTGGTTTTGGGATATACTCATAATGCATGTCTGGATTCACCGCTTTGATTGCATTGAAAAGTACTGGCAGCTGCTCATACCCATCGTCTCAGTCCCCATATATCATCTTCCATGCTCGCTGCTTAGCCCTCCAAGCTTTACCATAAGTTATCACATAACCTCCATACAACGCATCAACGGTCCTGATAATTGTCCTAACCTTCATGTTAGGTTCTCCCTGTAATATTCCCATCAACCGCTTGGCAATAAGGGTAGATGTCAACTGTTGATGCTTCAGTGTCATCTCATGGTTAGCATAATTGTGTGGCCCGACAACTTTTGTGATCTTCCACTTTTCGGTGACCTTTTGCTTCCTTGCACAAACACTCCATGGGCAGCGTTCCTTGTCACACACAACTGTGTAGCGGCGCTCCGCATATGAATGCAAGACTTTGTAAGGTCTCTTTCGTATCACTGCAAACGCCTGCGACCACCTCTTCAATGTAGGGAGGTCCTTGAATACCCTCCCATTCTCAATTACCATGTTAGGGCCGGTCTCAGGAGCTTCTAGGAGCTCATCATCATGTCCTTCTACACACGCCTGATCGGAATGAGCAAGATTGCTGAACTCGTGAACTCTTAGATCACGGCGATCGGGAAAGATACGCCTCAGCATCTCAACATCACTCTATGTCAGCTCTCCAACAGGGCGATCATCATCAGAATCAAGAGCCCTTGCCATTTCATATGACTCCGAATCATTCATAATTTCAACACTATTGGAGTCACGGAATCCATCTCCACAGTGTACTTGCGCAGCAACAGGGGGCACATCCACATTTTTAGAAATGTCTCCTGCAACATAAGTAGAGAAATGAGAAAAGAATGAAAAAAATGGATGTAAGGAAGGGGGATAAGCTTCCAATAACCATGCGGTTAAGACACTTACTCGGATGATTCTGTGTCAAAGGGATCTCAGGAGGAGGATCTGCCACAACAACATGAGTCTGACAAGCATCTCCAACTACCTCATTGGGGGTAGATTGAGCATCGGGAACCGTAGGTGCAACCTCCACATCTATATCAGGTTCCGGGACAGGAGGGTCAAAGTGTGCCTGCTAACCCGTTGGCGGGGAAAACCCATGAGGGATGGGATCAACTAACACACAACGCACAACCACGTCCAAACATTGTAGCTGACTCTTCATAGCCGATCTCACATAGTTCTCCCACTGATCCGCACACCCAATTGGGATCATTCGCCTGAGGATGTTGGGAGGAGAACCTAGGTGCTGTACACCCTCAACTGCAATGCCATCATCATCTCTAAGGCAATGCAGCTCCTCCCGAGCCCTTGCAACCATCTCACTAAATGAAGGCCTATCATTGAATAGCACAGGCACGCTTTGCATGTCAACAAACTCAACATATCCATAGCGATCGTATTCAACGGTGCCTCCATGATATATGGTCACTAGGTTGTCCATCTAGTTCAAACACATAACGAAACACATGTCCTTTAGTCCAAATTAGATGATAGATAGTACCTAACAAGTACTTTCTAACTACAAACTAAGTAAATAAGATAATAACTACATATATAGATACAGTGTACTCACTAAATTGCTAGATCCTATTTAGTTAACTAAATATATAACTATCTATCTAAGTAGCTATCTAACTATATGTATATACCTATGTATCTATGTTTCTATTCATCTACATATCTATCTCACAAGATCACTAACTAAATCAACTAGCTGAGTCATTACATTAACTAGTAAATAACAAATGTCAAAACTACTACACTACAATCAAAGCTAACTAAGTACGTACATTGCAAATTCACAATTTTTACCAGTCCGATGACGGAGTCGCGGACGTCGACGGAGTCGCAGCGGACGTCGGGCGTGGGTGAGGCCGACGAGCTGGGCCGACGGTGGCGCGTGGCGGGCGCGGGCGGCACGTCTGGCGAGGCGAGGGCGCGGCGTGGAGACCGGCACGTCACGGGCGCGGGCGCGGTGTCCGCCGCGGCCGCGGCCGAGGGCGCGGGGAAGGGCGCAGGCGGCCGGGGACGGGAGAGGGCGCGGGCGGCGGCGGCGGTGCGCTGCTCGGGCGGGAGCTGACGGTGCGAGAGAAAGGGACAGGAAGAGAGAAAGGATTGGGGCCTTACGTAAGTTAGGCTTGGCGCCAGTAACCACGACGCCGAGCTCTCCGCCAAGATTTACGGCGCCGAGCTGCCTGGCAAATCACCGCCATGTCAGCGTCGAGCCCAAGAGCTTGGCGCCAGGGACGCTGGCGCCGAGACGTGTAAGCCGAGCTAAGGATTCAGATTTTGAAATTTTACCTCTAGGGACATATTTGTGAAAAAAAATCAAAAAATGGCTAAAAAATAAAAAATCAGGGGATGGCGCTCCGCGCAACGAGCCCGGCACGGCGGGCGAGGCCGGGCGCGGGCGCGATGGCCGCCGAGGGCGCGGGCAGCCGGGGGCGGGCGAGGGCACGGGCGGCGGCGGCGCGCTGATTCGGGGGGCGAGAGAGAGGAAGAGAGAAAGAAAGGGAGGGCCCCGAAGATAGGCTTGGCGCCAATAACCACAGCGCCAAGCTCGGCGCCAAGATCTACGGCGCCGAGCTGCCTGTCAAGTCACCGTCATGTCTGCGTCGAGCCCAAGACCTCGGCGTCAGCAACGATGACGCCGAGCTAAGGGTCTAGATTTTGAAATCATACCTTCAGAGGCATATTTGTGAATTTTTTTAAAAAAAAGGCTAAAATATAAAAAAAATCAGCCAAGAGACGTGTGCGACGCCTACGGCAATTGGCAAGTGCGGGGCGTTCGGGCTGTGCGACGCCGGCGCGGCGTTGACGTCGTTCTGCAGCTGCCTCACGGGGCTCAGCCCCGCGTCGCCGCCGGCGTGGTCCTTGAGGGATACCTCGGGCGGATGCAAGCGGAACGTGAAGCTGGACTGTACCAGTAATGGGAGTGGCACGACGACGACGACGACGGACGGTTTCCTGTTGGTGCACGGAGTGAAGCTACCAGACACGCACAACGCGACGGTGGACATGAGCATCACGGTGGAGGATTGCATGGCGAGGTGCCTCGCCAACTGCTCGTGCTTGGCCTACGCCGCCGCAGATATCCGCGATGGCGACGTCCTCAGCGGCTGCGTGATGTGGACGGATGATATCATCGACCTTCGATACGTGGACAAAGGGCAAGATCTCTACCTGAGGCTGGCCAAGTCTGAGCTCCCGCCGGCGCCCTCGCCACGGCGGCGGCCATTTCCTACTGCACCAGTTGTCGGTGCATCCGCAGCCGCCGTCGCTGCCGTGATTCTTACTGTTTTGTTGGTCGTAACTGTGCTTAGGAGGCGCCGGCAACCTATAATCCCAGGTAAAATTACTGACCCAATTGTTTGTTTTAACTTTGAACATTTTAAAATTACCAAAAGAGGGCGACACACCATGCTAATATATGTGTTGACTGTTGAGTTTTCCAGCTGTTCAGAGTGTCCCTTCTACTGAACTACGCAGACCTCCGTCAGTCGCTTCCGCTGGACAGCCTAGTCCTGTTCTCAACGTGTCTTCTGCTGAATTGTCTGCTTTGAGGAGGGCTACAAATGATTTCTCTGTAGACAATGTCATTGGCCGTGGAGGATTCAGCGCCGTATTTGAGGTCCGTGTTAGTATATGTTATCAAGCGCTATAATGACATATAGTAGAATACTTAGTAGTATGTAGTATATAGTTATATACTAGTATCGTTACTGAAGTGATAAATTAAGATAAATAATCGAAGCATAGGCATAGTTACGGTTTTCATCTTGAAGGAACTCTAAAAAGGTTTTCATCTTGACTGCATGTAGGTGTATTTCATAGTCACACCTCATTTGGACTAGAATTAGTATATTTTACCGTTCAACGTGCACAGCTAACATAATTGTGCAATTGCCAGGGGATTTTAACTGATGGTAGAAAGGTTGCAGTAAAGAGCCTCACACGATCTTATCTTACCGATGAAGGTGGTGAGACTTTCATGAGACAAGTGGAAGTGATGTCAAAGCTCAAGCATGACAATCTTGCTCGTCTCCTTGCTTATTGCAAGGATGGAAATGAGCGGATACTAGTCTATGAGTACATGGAGAACAGGAGCTTGAACATATACATATTCGGTACTTGCATGATTTATAATGCACAGATTATTGATATCTGTATAAATGCATGATCACAATGTTCTGATACTTCAAAGTGCTGATCTGCTCTCTGCATCACTGACAGCAAGAGATCCCAAGCACCGTGCTTTGTTGAATTGGAAGCGAAGGCTGGAGATAATTGTAGGGGTCGCCAAAGGCGTTGCTTATCTGCATGGACAGGAAGTGATACACAGGGATCTGAAACCATCCAATATACTTTTGGATGAAAGTTGGAGAGCTAAGATTGCAGATTTTGACACCGCAAAAGTGTTCGTCGACGACCAGACAAATCCGACACTAGTACAGACAGAGTATGACGACGGAAACTTGACCCCCTCGTCTACCTGTTTCAATTCAAGTGCAGTAGAATCAATAGGTAACATAACATGCATATAACATCAGTTAACTTGCTAGAATCAGTAGTTGCTTCCTAAGCATTTCGTTTTTTTTCAAGTAGTTCAAATTTTCATACTAAACTGCAAGATAGGATTGATCCTAGCATAGTAAACGGAGACACGGCGTCCTGGAACCAGGCTACCTTGGCCAACGCCTCCATCCATCTCACGTAGACGACGAAGCAAGCCCAGGTGGGACCTGGCGCAGAAAGCGCGCCAAACAGCAACCCCTGCACGCGGTTGCCAATTTCTGATCTCAGACTTGGATCCCATCACCGTATTGGTTAGTCATTACTGCTACACGATTGGTAGCATTGCACAGTTGCAGTTGCAGTTAGAAAACGATAGGCAATATAAATGACGAAAAACACTTGATTAAACATATGGGACATAAGATTTTAACGTGAAAAACCCATCAGTCAGCAAATCTTCACTATATCGGGTGAGGTTACAAACGTCGGAGATTTAAAACTTTTCTTATCCCAAGACGACGGCTTACAGGAAGTATATATAGAGATGGAAAAACCCTAATAGGCGACGGATTCTACGTGCACGCGTCGCCAGCTACGCCAGGGACTCCTCGGTGCTCGCATTCTACGTGCACGCGTCGCCAGCTACGCCGGGGACTCCTCGGTGCTCGGATTCTACTTCGCTTCGGCCCAAGCCTCCCGGCGACGGGCCTCGCTTCGCTCGGAGCTCAACAGTTGCAACAGCAAATCAGCGGTTCTTTTCCGTTTACATGCATGTCAGTCAATCATCGACTTGTTTGCAAGTCTGCAGCGATTTCAAAAAAAAAACGTTCCATTTGCACTCTCTTGTGTCAGTGTGATGGATGGAAGTCAAGAAAGCAAATCAGTGACTGACTTATGGCCACATGCAAATAAGCCCAAAAGAAGTGTCGGCTATACGTGCCAAGGCACGGTCGGTCATGAAAAACAAAAGAAGTGTTGGCCGGGCCACGGTTTACCCACCACTCCACCAGCATCCATTTTTACTACCGGACAAGAGTAGCCGCAATGTTACGGTCCATCGACATCCATTTAAGTTTGCTCAAAACAAAAACTACCGTACAAGTGCATCCGAAGTGTGGTAAAAATGTTGCTGGATATTAAAGAGAAATTTACAGCACCGATTTTGCCACTACTACACTCCAACAAATGTTCATATTACATGGATGTTCAAGGTATAAAATATTATTCAACCTAGCTAAGTTAGATAACGCCATACGCCACTGAATATATGTTCCGTTTAAACTAAGTCACGCTTTAATATTCTTCTAAATATTCTCCGATCTTCATATATCGCCATGATGTTTCTCCGAGCTGTTTTCTCTATGTTTGTTCTCCAAACGATTTTCTTTCATGTATACCATCTTAAAAGATGGCATACGACTAAGTCTAAGGCAAATCCTCGAACAGTCATGTTGACGCTCGGATGTCACCAGAGACGGCTCTGTCTCCGGCTTCTCCCTACATGTGCACGAACGTCTGCCCTCTGCGTTACGGGTGGTCGGCAGCGGCTCCTTGGCGACACTTTGTTCTTCCTACACGCAAACGGGCCCCACGCTCCACGTTATGGTTAACATGCTAGTTATGACTGGAGACTCAGCTACATAATAACTGGTCGGACGATTTATATTAAATATAAACACATCTTCAGAATAACACTAATTATTCACACCAACTGATCGCCGAGGTGCATACGCTATTTCGTCACCATTGCTGATTCGTCTCCGGAGTTCATATATTTTATTTTACATCATGTAATACTCGTTCTACATATTTGTATTTTAGGATCATCGTTCAGGTGGTCAGACCACCTGGTGCTCGGACTTCTCCGCCGATCAACTGGTCGGACCGCTAGGTTTATGGACTTCGTCGCCGACCAGTTGATCAAACTATTCGCCGGTCACTTCTACTCAATGCTCACTTTGCCGCCGACCAGTTGGTTGGACTGCTCATCGCATGGGCTTCATCGCCAGCTACGCCGGAGACTCCTCGGTGCTCGGATTCTACGTGCATGCGTCGCCAGCTACGCCGGGGACTCCTCGGTGCTCGGATTCTACTTCGCTTCGGCCCAAGCCTCCCGGCGACGGGTCTCGCTTCGCTCCGTCAAAAGTTAGCCTTTATCTTGTACATAACTGAATTTTAATCACAACTCAACAGTTGCAACAGCAAATCAGCCGTTCTTTTCCCGTTTACATGCATGTCAGTCAATCATCGACTTGTTTGCAAGTCTGCAGCGATGTCAATACAAAAAAAAAAACGTTCCATTTGCACTCTCTTGTGTCAGTGTGATGGATGGAAGTCAAGAAAGCAAATCAGTGACTGACTTATGGCCACATGCAAATAAGCCCAAAAGATGTGTCGGCTATACGTGCCAAGGCACGGTCGGTCATGAAAAACAAAAGAAGTGTTGGCCAGGCCACGGTTTACCCACCCACTCCACCAGCATCCATTTTTACTACCGGACAAGAGTAGCCGCAATGTTACGGTCCATCGACATCCATTTAAGTTTGCTCAAAACAAAAACTACCGTACAAGTGCATCCGAAGTGTGGTAAAAATGTTGCTGGATATTAAAGAGAAATTTACAGCACCGATTTTGCCACTACTACACTCCAACAAATGTTCATATTACAAGAATGTTCAAGGTATAAAATATTATTCAACCTAGCTAAGTTAGATAACGCCATACGCCACTGAATATATGTTCCGTCTAAAGCTAAGTCACGCTTTAATATTCTTCTAAATATTCTTCAATCTTCATATATTGCCATGATGTTTCTCCGAGCTATTTTCTCCATGTTTGTTCTCCAAACAATTTTCTTTCATGTATACCATCTTAAAGATGGCATACAACTAAGTTTAAGGCAAATCCCCAAACAGTTATGTTGACGCTCGGATGTCCCCAGAGACGGGCCTGTCTCCGGCTTCTCCCTACACGTGCACGAGCGTCTGCCCTCTGCGTTACGGGTGGTCGGCAGCGGCTCCTTGGCGATGCTTTGTTCTTCCTACACGCAAACGGGCCCCACGCTCCGCGTTATGGTTAACAGGCTATTTAGGGCTTGAGACTCAGCTACACACTAACTGGTCGGGCGATTTATATTAAATATAAACACATCTTCATAATAACACTAAGTGTTCACACCAACTGATCGTCGAGCTGTATACGCTATTTCGTCACCATTGCTGATTCGTCTCCGGAGTTCATATATTTTATTTTACATCATGTACTACCTGTTCTACATATTTGTATTGTAGGATTATTTGTCCAGGTGGTCGTACCACCTGGTGCTCGGACTTCTTCGCCGATCAACTGGTCGGACCGCTAGGTTTATGACTTCGTCGCCGACCAGTTGATCGAACTATTCGCCGGTCACTTCTACTCAATGCTCACTTCGCCGCCGACCAGTTGGTTGGACTGCTCATGCATAGGCTTCATCGCCAGCTACGTCGGGGACTCCTCGGTGCTCGGATTCTACGTGCACGCGTCGCCAGCTACGCCGGGGACTCCTCGGTGCTCGGATTCTACTTCGCTTCGGCCCAAGCCTCCCGGCGACGAGCCTCGCTTCGCTCCGTCAGAAGTTAGCCTTTATCTTGTACATAACTGAATTTGGATCACAGCTCCAACAGATGCAAACAGCAAATCGGCGGTTCTTTTCCCGTTTACATGCATGTCAGTCAATCATCGACTTGTTTGCAAGTCTGCAGCGATGTCAATACAAAAAAACGTTCCATTTGCACTCTCTTGTGTCAGTGTGATGGATGGAAGTCAAGAAAGCAAATCAGTGACTGACTTGTGGCCACATGCAAATAAGCCCAAAAGAAGTGTCGGCTATACGTGCCAAGGCACGGTCGGTCATGAAAAACAAAAGAAGTGTTGGCCGGGCCACGGTTTACCCACCACTCCACCAGCATCCATTTTTACTACCGGACAAGAGTAGCCGCAATGTTACGGTCCATCGACATCCATTTAAGTTTGCTCAAAACAAAAACTACCGTACAAGTGCATCCGAAGTGTGGTAAAAATGTTGCTTGGATATTAAAGAGAAATTTACAGCACCGATTTTGCCACTACTACACTCCAACAAATGTTCATATTACATGGATGTTCAAGGTATAAAATATTATTCAACCTAGCTAAGTTAGATAACCATAGGGGTAATTTGTGGCATCCGGTTCAACTAAGTTGCTGCATTTTAATGTCTTGCCTTTGAATTTTGCCATCCGTCGTGTCCCCTTACCTCTAACCGCTTTCCAAACATATGTAACCTAAAGCTGCTTTCTAGAAGCAGTTGTTTTTACATAGTACTCCCTCCATCCATTAAAAAAAAGTCGATATGTGAATCGTGCTGGTCAAACTTTCTTAATTTTGACTAAATTTATAAAAAATATGTGCAATATTTATATCTCCAAATAAGTTTATTATGGAAGTATATTCAACGATATATCTATTGGTACTAATTATGTACCATAAATATTAATATTTTGTTAAATATATTTGATCAAAGTTAAAAGCTATTGATTTTTTTGGGAAGCAAGAATGACTCTTTTTTAAGGTACATAGGGAGTAGTTACAATTTTCGCAACGCCTTAGATCCAAATTTTGTCTTTTTGCTTTCCGCTTTTGAAATAGATGGAACTTAAGAGATGCTTCATAGTTATTTTAAGACTTTTTACATGTAGCGATGTATCTGCCCTGAGATGCAGCCCTCTGTTCATGCACCAGATATCCACAAGGCACGCACAAACAATTGCTTCACTGAGGCGCCTTGCCCGGCCTGTGCACTCCTCTCCTCTAGCCCAATGCCCCGCACCACCAGGAACCACGTCCGTCGTCGTTCCCTAACCCGCTGACCGCATTCCAACAGCAACGCATGTGTCAGCAGCTCTGCATCGTCATCACACCGTGGCGCAAGTGTGCACGACGTCGCCCAAGGTGGTGTGCACGACGTCAGCCCACGGCGCAGCGCGCGGGAGCGACGGCCCAGCTCAAGAGTCCCGGGCCCAGAGTGGGCTTGACCCATTCCAGCTGGAGAAACGTGGTGTGTACGAGAGCTATATGTAACCCTAAGAGAAGGAGATGAGGATTATCATGAGCAACCGGCTGTAAGCACTCCTCTGTTCTAAAGCTATTCTTCCGAACTATCCTGTCCTGCATTCTTCTCGTTCT